CGGGATGGACAAAAGCCTCGTATAACTACAAGGAAACCATCCGATGTGTGGCGTGATGCTTATGGTGCGGCATTAAGGTTTCGTGGCAGTCAACCAGCTGCTGACATAACAACTAGCTTTTCATTAATTCGGGAGATGGAGCAGGACACAGGTACTTTTTTTTGGTTGATCTAAAATTCAGAAATTCTTGTTTTATGATCACTCTAAGGCGCAATACAGCGATTTATACGTGGGAATGTGGGTGCATTTATCTGCTTATACGCCCCTTGCTAAGTGTTGAGATCAGGGAAACGGACTTTAGAAAAATAATCTCCGACTACGCCAGTTTCCAGTCTTGTTTTTTAACCTGTGGGCTCATTTATGAACTGAATGAGACTGATTTAACTCAGAAATGAACCCAGTTGCATCGAGCACTAGTTTTGTTGGCGCCAGCATCCTCGTAAAATTTCTGCTTTCTTAACTGTCTGTTTATTAAGAGAGAAGGATAACGGAAGCGTTGCAGTTTAAACATTTGCCTTATCCATGCGCGGAGCACATGCCAAAACAGGAAATCTTATGCTTGCGGGGTCGTACGTGAGCAATAAGCATTCTCAAAAAATCGCGGTTTCCCGCGGGTTTGGTGAAAGAATCATTTGGTTGCTAAAATTGCCCGAAACTAAAGTTTTTCTTGCATTTACCGCCAGTCTTAAAGTTGAATTTTAAATTTTTAAGTCGCAGTTGGACTCAGAATGTCCGCGGACAGTCAATATTTTCATTTTAGAATGTCGGCTTCCTTTTCAACCAATTTGCAGAGTTAAATTTTTGTCAAAATTTTGCAAAACTGGAACTTTGCTTGCGCTTTTCGTTTTAGACTTAGAACATACAATAATCCTGAATTTAAAGACTTTAGGTCTTACGCATCTAGCTAATAAGTTGCTTCTTTGCTGCAAATATACTTGTTATAACCGTCACGTAATACAAGTATACACGAAAGCTAATTTTCTTTTCACAGGCCTGCATGTGTACAAAAAATGTTCTGTAAAGTTGAGGCATCCTTCAAAGCCAAGCTCTCGAATTGGCATTTGCTAGAGAATTCCGTGCGCAAGGCATAGGCGTGCGTTAAAGCTGAATTTGAAATCCTTCAATCACACAGGAGCAGAGATTGTGAAATTTCAACTTTCTGTATTTTCTGGTTTCCGAAATCGTTTTCTCATTAAATCTTCGTGTTTTTTCTTTTAGTTTTCCGTTCATGAGTCTCAAACTGCGTGAATTTTGTTTTTAAAAGCAGGATGCTGTGGGAAAGAAACACCCTTGGGAAATTTCGGCCTGCTGACTTTTCCGGTTTGAACTGCAGTTGGGAATAAAATCCGAACACACACACACACACACTCACACACACACACACACACACACACACGCACACACGACCTCTCGTCAATATGCAGTTTGCTTCTGCATAAATGTGTAAATAAGCATACAAATAACAGACAATTACAATATAAGGGAGTTTGGAAAATATGAAAGTTCACGCACGCCCATCTTTCATCCCTTGTATGTGTTAGACACATAGAATCACTTTATGTCTAGAATAAATGCAGTTGAGTTGTTCGTTCCACTGCTCTGGATACTTTCCAGGAGCAGTGTGGCAGAAAGTGGAGTACACGTTTGAGGATTATCCGAGAGGTATTCGCTACGTTGTTTTTGAGCATGCCGGGAAGGATAAACAGGTATGGGCCGGTCATTATGGCGCAAAAATGGCCAAAGCTACAGTTATAGTAAATTACGGCACAGGGAAGCGCAGAGGCGCATAAAGACGTTCGTTCACTTCGATTCGCGACAGGTAAATATATCTTACGGATAAATATATGCGATAGCATTTCTTATGTGAGTGAAGCATGCAACTGTTATTTGTTTGATTTGCGCATGCAGTGATTCTGGTGAAGTTCATGTCCTTCGATTTTTGGCTGTGACTTCTCCAAATGAGGTCAGATTTTCTGAGCGACACCTATGCAAAATTGATATGGGCAGTCAGGTCGCTGCGTGCGTCATTGTACTGAAGCGCTTTTGTTAACCTCGAAATTTCCAGGGCGTGCCTTGTTGGAATGTAGCCCTCGGCGCTAATTTGTTAAAATTTTTTGCAAACAGTCAGGTAAATTGTGTGGGGTAAGGTTGAATAGCGATTATTAAGCAACATCTT